ATTTTGCTTGTATTTCTGCAGATTGACACTTGTGAGCCTTTTTGGAAAAAATAAAAAATGAAGGGTGGATGCCACAAGCATTTACCCAGCCGTAATGCATTTTTCCCATATTTTGGCTAATAGGATTATTTCCTATGATCATTAGCTGCATATAGTGGCCATAATGTGATATGTTCCTGATTGAGATACTTCAGGAAAATATCACATTATGGCCACTAGATGGAGCTGCCAATCATAGGAAATAATTATATTTGACAAAATAAAGAGATATTTTGTTACAGCTGGGTGAATGCTTGTAACATTCATCCAGAATTATTATTTTTTTTAATAAATAGACCTCTTGAGGTCTTTAACTGCTATTTGAGTTTAACTAAGTTTCTGGTGTATTCCTTTAGGAGGGAAGGGGCCGGTAAATGTGTAATTTACTGGCCCCTTCCTTTTGTGAATGGAGAGTCAGTGATCCGTACCAATCACTGATTCTGTTCATTTATAACTGAAACATAGTGAACTGTGTTTACTATGTTTCAGTTTGTAAATGGAGGGGAAGCTCTCTTCCTATCTATTCAGTGCAGCTGAGGCTGCAAAGATAGGAGGAGGACACAGCTCTCAATCTCCTTTCTCTGTCAAGAAGGCGAAACATCAGAGGTCCTTTTAGAGCCTGATATTTCACAAAAGTCACAAAAAATAGTAAGAAAATAATTTTAAACATTTTTAAAAAGGCAAAAAAATGAAAATAAGAAAATTAAAAAAAAAAAATACTGACACCAGTGGCGGAATTACTAGGGTCACAAAAGTTGCACCTGGTTCTGAGAGAAGGGCCCCGGCCAGGGGTCCATTTATGGTTTCTTGCACCCTGGGGCCCTGAAGGTTCTAGTTACACCACTGGTGTGCTGTATGACCACCAAGGTCCTCTGTTAGAAGATAGCAGTGGCTGTGGACAGAATGACAAAGGGGTGGAGGACTTCACAACTCTGAAAGAGAGGAGAAAGGCCTCTTTAACATGGATGGTAAGGCCATAAACAGGATTCTCTTGGCAATAATCAGCAAATTATTGAGGCTGGAATGACAGGTGTGTGCAGACAGCGGCGGCCCCTCAGCCTGTACTGCAATGACAGGCTGATCAGGAGCCATCAATGTTCACATGTTTCTGTAGATGTAGCAGTTTCCTCTGGTTGGGGATGGACATCTGAGCCTGGGTGCACCTTTCTGCATCCAGAAACAATTCTCCACCGATAACCACAGGTTACTGCTGAATGTGCATTTATCCACAAACAGCCACGTCCGCTGTCATTCATTCACGTGGGCTGAACGGCCAAATCTGAACACCTGTGATTCCATCTACAAATAATCTGCTGATTCTTGCTGCCAGAATTCACAGACTGGCCCTGATCGCCCATGTGAATGCTGGGGGGTTTACTGGCTATAGAAAAAAATGTCAAAAGCCAAAAACAGCCGCTGTAAAAACATCCTGTGTGTGTGAGGGTAACTGCTAATGATAAAAGGTATTAAGCAGTTTATATTTACTAAACTAAATGCATTTCCATGTTGTGTGTACTGTGGGAGACAAGATATAGTGAATGCAGGGTCCTGGGAGACCATATATAGTGAATGCAGGGTCCGGGGAGAGCGGATATAGTGAATGCAGGGTCCGGGGAGACCATATATAGTGAATGCAGGGTCCGGGGAGAGCGGATATAGTGAATGCAGGGTCCGGGGAGACCATATATAGTGAATGCAGGGTCCGGGGAGACTGGCTATAGTGAATGCAGGGTCCGGGGAGAGCAGATATAGTGAATGCAGGGTCCAGGGAGACCATATATAGTGAATGCAGGGTCCGGGGAGAGCGGATATAGTGAATGCAGGGTCCGGGGAGATTGGATATAGTGAATGCAGGGTCCGGGGAGACCAGATATAGTGAATGCAGGGTCTGAGGAGACTGGCTATAGTGAATGCAGGGTCCGGGGAGACCATATATAGTGAATGCAGGCTCAGGGGAGACCAGATATAGTGAATGCAGGGTCCAGGGAAAGCGGATATAGTGAATGCAGGGTCCTGGGAGAGCGGATATATTGAATGCAGGGTCCGGGGGGTCCAGATATAGTGAATGCAGGGTCCGGGGAGACCAGATATAGTGAATGCAGGGTCCGGGGAGACCAGATATAGTGAATGCAGGGTCCAGGGAGATCAGATATATTGAATGCAGGGTCCGGGGGGTCCAAATATAGTGAATGCAGGGTCCGGGGAGACCAGATATAGGGAATGCAGGGTCCGAGGAGACCATATATAGTGAATGCAGGGTCCGGGGAGACCATATATAGTGAATGCAGGGTCCGGGGAGACCAGATATAGTGAATGCAGGGTTCAGGGTTTAGTAACACTTTAATGCCTAAGCACAATTTTGCAACTTTGATATGTGTTAATATATGTCAAAGTTTAAAAAGTGGGAGGAAGGGTTGGGTGGAAAACTGAACTGCAGGCACCTAGAAGTGTACCTTGTAAAACCCTACTGGCACTGCCAAATCTCAGAACATTCTGATGTGCAAAACTTTACAACTTCCTGATTGTGCTGAAGCTTTTTTTTTAAATTTAGCTGAATATTCGTACAACTACTTTCTGTATCCAGGTGGATCATACCTTGTTTTTTTTTTCAAGACAAATTGGGCTTTCATTTGGTGGTAAATGGTAACACGTATCTCCTGATTTTTTTTTTTTCATTATCAAAGGAAAACTGGCCCAAAATAGTAAAAAAAGGTTTAAACTTTAGCTGGATATTTCTTGCTATTACCATAATTTACCACCAAAGAACAACTGAAAATACATTCTCCTGCTCCTGACGATTGCAGCGACACCACAAATGTGAATGTTATTTGCTGTTTGTACCTCTAGTACAGCCCAGAAAAAATAGTGCGCATTTTGCATGGTTTTTTTTTATCCTGCATAAAACACACTGACACTAACTGACACTGATACTAATAAAAATAAATTAAATTCTACCTATAATATGCTGACTTTGACCCTGACCTTTGACCCTAACACTAATCCTGGCAAACCTTGATCTTGTTAATTTTATTTCTTTATTTTCTTTTATTTTTAATTCTTTATTTATTTTACACATTTTTGTTTCTGTGTAACTTCTTCTCCTGCAAGAAGAGATATACAATGCATATTTCCCTTCATTCAGAAGAGGAAGTAAACGCATGGGTGGGCTCACTATGACTGATCACTGTGATAGCCACTCAGAGGCTATCACAGCAATCAGGTGATCCAGAACCGGGAGTCCCAGATCCTGATCATTAGTACGAGACTCAGAACTTCTGGTGAGAGCCAGGTAGCTGTGCTGGGAGCACGCTGTGTGGCGTTCTTCCAGGACAAAGAGAGATATCTACATATGCGGCCCCATGGAAAAAGACCCACTTCAGCAGGAAGGGGTTAATCCACAAGAATGTAAATTTCAAATCTCATTGAAATCAGCCATTAAATTGGAACTTGACTTTCTCAATCATCATTAACTATTTGTATTCCGTATACTGCTATCATTAGTAAATAATAGGAAGGTATATTGTATTTACTTGTTTTAAACTTTTTTTTTTTTACATTTTTTCAGCTGCCTCCTGGTTTCTGGCTTAGGCCAAAATGATGTCATCTCAGGAGGCTTTATTGCATTTTTTTTTTTCTTTCATCTGCAGGAGGGGCTTTCTCAAAAAGCACATCTTCCTCCTGCCTACATGCCTGGCCTAAGGATAGATGGATTCCAGGAAGACTGTGTCTGTGAATTCTATTCCACTCTTTTCTATTTTATTTCCATTCTATTTTATTCAATTTTTTTTATATTATATTATTTTATATTCTATTCTTTTCTGGTTTACTCTGTTTTATTCTACTCTTTTCCATTCTACTTTTTTATGTTCTATTCTATTTTATTCTATCCTTGTTTTCTAATTCGATTACATGTTTGATTTTGATTCAAATTTGATTTGAGACAAATTTTGCTTCATTATTTTTGATCTGAATAAATTTGTTACCATTGTAATCCAGAAATTTGGATACATCCGAATCTCCAAATAACGAAAACTTTGCCCGAATTTTGTTCTGGAGAGAGACGAACCGCACGTCTAGTGATAGCAGTTCCCTGAAACTCAGGTCACTTACCAGCACAGTATTTGTTATCAGTCACCAAGGTTGTCTACAATTTTATTTTTTAGGTGAATGTGGCCAGCTGTCAAGTACCTGGTTGGGGAGCCTGATGTGGAGTGGAGGCGCCCTCTTACTACTCCCGCTTGGAGCCCCTGATAATGGGAACAGAGGGCGCTGAGCCAGGAGTGAGTCTTGAGATGATGGTAGGCAGGTGATCACCCAGAAAATCTGGATGCCGGCCAGGTGTGGATGCAGGAACGTGGGCGCGGCATCACGTAGATATGGCGATAACCAGGGTGCAGGCCAGGTGCGGGTGCAGGGAGGTAGGTGCAACAGCAGGTAGGTATGGTGCGGATGCAGAAACGTACGTGTCAGACAAGCTAGCTCAAGATCAATCGGGCAGATCAGGTACAAGGGAGCAAGCAAGCAGATAGTCAGGGATAAGCCGGGTTAGTGCAGGCGGAGTTCTTTCATAGTCAGGGTCGGATCAGATACAGGCAACAGAATCAGGTTATCAAGTACAGGACGTTATAGACCAGAAGGCATAGGCTAAACTGTGTTGGTGATTTAAGTCCGCCTTGTGGTGACGTGTACGCTAGTGCGCATGCGCGTAACCACACGCTCCCGCGCATGCGCACTCGCACAACAGGGATCCGGTGCATAGATGTTCGTCGGTGAGGGAGTGATCCCTGTGAGCAGCACAGTGGCTGAATGGTTAGCACTTCCGCCTGGCAGAACTAGGGTTGTTGGTTCGAATCCCAACCACAACACCACCTGCTTGGCGTTTGCATGTTCTCCCTGTGCCTGTGTAGGTTTCCTCCCACACTCCAAAGACATGCTGGTAGGCAGGGGTGGACTGGCAACTCATGGGGCCCCCAGGTAATAGGGGATCATGGGGCCCCTGTGTCCTTGCCCAAACTCAAAAAAGCCTATGAAAAAGGTACCAGGGGCATCTCATGGGGCCCCCCCCCCCCCCGGGCAGTGCCTGAGTTTCCCAATGGTCAGTCCTCCCCTGCTGGTAGGTTAATTGTTAATCCTGTCTAAGTTGTCCCTAGTATGAATGTGAGTTATGGACCTTAGATTGTACATCCCTTGAGGGTTAGGGACTGATGTGAATGTACAATATAGATGTAAATTGATGGCGCTGTATAAGTACCTGAAATAAATAAATAAATAAATGCTGCATGAATCCTCTGCCCTTACTCAGGGTGGCTGTAGCTAGAAATGCCAGGGGGTGTTTTTCAAAGTCATTCTTCATCAAAATAAAGCAGGGCGACATAAATAGATGGGGGAGCTTGATATGAATATTACAAATAAATGAAATAGTTTTCAGTTTGTTGCGCTCAGATACAGTGACGTTATACTTTGAAGAAATTCAAACTCTCACTTTTTTAAAGATAAGGATCCTTATCCTGATGTGTTAGTTTTATGGTGTAATAAAATGTTATCTGTATGTCAGTAGGAAGTAATCTGAGCAAAGTCTGTGCCTGCAGACAGAGATGGGTGTGAATGCATGCAATACCTAGAATTCAGAATTAACCCCTTGCTCACTGCTACACACTCCAATACAATACTGGCACGCTTTGCATTAAAAATGGGACCTCTTGGTTTCCATATAGTGTGATACATGTTTCCCCTTCCTCACTATATGAAAGTGATCCCTCTCTGGCCAATCCCTACCAGCAAAATGCCAAATATGTACATGTACCTATTGTGGGCAGCGCAGTATGGGATAAATTGAAATATATTGACATGAACACACACACTCAGGTTGAACTGGATGGACCGGTGTCTTTATTCAACTATCTCTATGTAACTATGTATGTAACTGGGAGGAACGCAACCTAGTTGTGTTCGTTGATCCGTGTCAGTCTGCCACATTGTTATTTAGAGTGTATCCGAACCCAAAAATAAAATTGCCGTATGAGGCAGTTTATCAATCCTTGGATGAGGTGGCTTTCATTTGTTTTCTTTTTTTCAGATGTTTCTGCTTCATTTAGGAGTTTTCAGCTTGTAGGCACCCCCTACCTGCACCATGTGGCCAAACCTTCAGCTACTGGCCTACAGGGGTGGACTGACCATTTGGAAACTTGGGCACTGCCCGAGGGCCCGGGGTCAGTAGGGGGCCCCATGAGATGCCCCTGGTACCTTTTTCATAGGCTTTTTTGAATTTGGGCAAGGACATTGGTGCCCCATAACCCCCTATTGCCCGGGGGCCCCATGAGTTGTCAGTCCGCCCCTGCTGGCCTACAAAAGATACAACACTCCCCGGGGCCAGGTCACTTAGCAGCACACATAAGGCCTAGGTGCTCAATGAAGACCTCCATGTCTGTCACATGTTACATAGTTAGTCTGGCTGAAAAAATACAAAAGTCCATCCAGTTCAACCATTAAAAAACCATTAAAAAAAAAAAAAAAAAAAAAAGTTATAATCCTACACCCACAGTTGATCCAGAGGAAGGCAAAAGAACCCCAGCAAAGCATGATCCAATTTGCTCCTGCAGGGGAAGAAGTTCCTTCCTGATCCCCCGAGAGGCAATCTGATATTCCCTGGATCAACTTTACCTATAAATGTTATATCCAGTTATATTCTGTGTATCCAAGAAAGAATCCAGGACTTTTTTAAAGCAATCCACTGAGCTGGCCAGAACCAACTTTTTGACATTTCAAAACTCCAGCATGCTATCCCACGATACATATCCTTGACAACCCCTTTTCAAGGGTGGAGCACACTCTTTCCCATGACCCTGCATTCTCTATGTGGTTTCGGGCTAAGGGTCAGCAGGTCCAACCATACATCTCAGACCCATGGGACATAGCATGTGTTCCCTTGAGGGGTCCTAATCTCATAGGTAGGAGGGAAACCTCTTCCCTTAATGACCACTACCAGCTCCTAGGCCGATCAGGTTTGCAGTAATTACTTCCGGTTACACTCTTCTGGTATTGGCTGCACTTTATTGGACAGCACAGTGGCTAAATGGTTAGCACTTCCACCTGGCAGTACTAGGGTCGTCGGTTTAAATCCCAACCATGGCACCACCTGCCTCTAGTTTGCATGTTCTCCCTGTGCCTACGTGGGTTTCCTCCGGGTACTCTGGTTTCCTTCCACACTCCAAAGACATGCTGGTAGGTTAATTGGCTCCTGTCTAAATTGTCCCTAGTATGTGTATGTATGAATGTGAGTTAGGGACCTTAGATTGTACACCTCTTGAGGGTTAGGGACTGATGTGAATGTACAATATATATATGTAAAGCACTGTGTAAATTGACAACGCTATAAAAGTACCTGTAATAAATAAAATAACACTTCCATGTTTTAGGTTTCCACATTGATTTCTAGTCTAGCAAACTATGAGTTTTACCTTGCCGTTGTCTGACTGCCTTCAGCCATGCAGCAATCACACCCACTTTACATGCTAAGACTTACATGCACACATTTTCTCATTTTTGTAATTCTTTACTTGAAAATATCTGTTAGATGGAAACATGTGGCACATCGGTTGAACAGCACTTAGCAGGTAGAGTCCCAACAACATGGCTTTACTCAGTTCCAAACATGGCAGGATTATAGCCCCGCAGGGTGGTAGACATAATACATTTGTAAGGGAAATGAGTGTTCATAAGAATGGTAGGAACTGTCCCAGACATATTAAAGTTCCAGGTTTCTTAGCTTACAATAATGTTCCTATTATAGGTGTTAGAGGGGGGTGCTGTAGTACTGCTGTTAGTAGTGCATAGTAACCATTTGGAAGTCAAATAAGATCCCTCTTTTCCAACTACATTTTTGAGGCCTCCATGGACGTCCCAAAGGGAAAAGCATACATGTACGTTCTCTTACTACTACTGTAGCACTACTTCCTTAGGAGCTGCTGAGTTATTTTCAGGCTCCCTGTCTGTGGACCCCCCTCTGAAAGCCCACCCCTGCTGACACCACCGCATCAAAGGGACGATGGACGGGGCAATGTACCGTCAAATCTTGGTTGAGACCCTCTTCCCTCAGCCAGGGCATTGAAAATGGGTTGTGGATGGGTGTTCCAGCATGACAATGACCCAAAACACACGGCCAAGGCAACAAAGGAGTGGCTCAAGAAGAAGCACATTAAGGTCCTGGAGTGGCCTAGCCAGTCTTCAGACCTTAATCCAATTGAAAATCCGTGGAGGAAGCTGAAAGTTCGAGTTGCCTAACATCAGCTACCAAACCTTAATGACTTGGAGAGGATCTGCCAAGAGGAGTGGGCCAAAATCCCTCCTGAGATGTGTGCTAACCTGGGGGCCAACTCCAGGAAACGTCTGACCTCTGTGATTGCCAACAAGGGATTTGCCACCAAGTACTAAGTCATGTTTTGTGAAGGGGATCAAATACTTATTTCCCTTATGAACATGCAAATCAGTGCATCATTTGTTAGACATGCATTTCTTTTGATTTTTTTTTGTTGCTATTCTGTCTCTCAGTGTTACAATATACCTACCACTCGATTTTTAGACTGATCATTTCTTTGTGAGTGGGCAAACATTCAAAATCAGCAGGGGAGCAAATACGCATTTCCTTCACTGTAACTCCCTCCTCATTGGCCTACCTCATCGCAGGCTATCCCCTCTTCAGTCTATCATGAATGCTGCTGCCAGACTCATCCACCTTACTAACAGTTCCATATCTGCCATCCCTCTCTGCCAATCCCTCCACTGGCTTCCCATTGCCCAACTTACATCACCAATCTTGTCTCCAAATATCACCAAAACCGTACTCTTCGCTCCTCCCATGACCTCCTGCTCTCTAGCTCCCTTGTCTCCTCCTCCCATGCTCGTCTCCAGGACTTCTCCAGAGCCTCCCCCTTCCTCTGGAACTCTCTACTCTAATCTATCAGACTATCGCCTACTCTGCCCACTTTTAGGTGATCTCTGAAAATCTATCTCTTCAGGGAAGCCTATCCTGCCCTCAGATAATAACGGAATCTTCTATTCCTCCTACCAGCCCATCTCCAACATTTATTACCTTTTGTACCACTAGCCCCTCCCTCCTAAACTGTAAGCTCCAAGGATCAGGGCCCTCCTAACCCTCTTATATTGAACTGTATTGTTGCTGTATTTTCTCCCGTTATATTGTAAAGTGCTGATAAACTGTTGGCGCTATATACCGTATTTTTCGCCGTATAAGACGCACTTTTTCTTCCCCTAAAACTGGGGGGGAAATGTCAGTGCGTCTTATAAGGCGAATATGGAGCGGCCGGTCCGGTATTTCCACCGCGGCCGTGTCAGAATACCGGGCCGGCCGCTCAGCTCTGCAGCGGGACCTTACCTGTTCCTCTATCCAGCGGCGTGCTGTCTTCCCGGCTTCTGTAGTGTGGGCATGACAGCCGGGTGCCAAGTGCGCATGCGCAAGAAGCGGTGCTTTTTGTGAATGGTAAGGCGGTACCTGGGACACATGACAGATCCCAGAAGCCGCCGGACCAATCACAAAGCGCAAGTGCTTCTCGCTCATGCGCACTGGGCACCCGGCTGTCATGCCGAGCGCCATTACAGAAGCCGGGAAGACAGCGCGTGGCTGGATCAAGGAACAGGTAAGATCAAACAAAAACTCTGCGGAAGTAAGAGCGGGTACTTGTCAAATTCAGGTACCCGCTCCCCACCTCCCCAAAGGTCAGCAGTCATCTGTACTGTCCGCAGTCTCTGGTCATCCCTGTGCTTTCCGCAGTCTCTGGTCATCCCTGTGCTGTCCGCAGTCTCTGGTCATCCCTGTGCTGTCCGCAGTCTCTGGTCATCTCCTGTACTGTGTCTGCAGTCTCTGGTCATCCCTGTACTGTGTCTGCAGTCTCTGGTCATCTCCTGTACTGTGTCTGCAGTCTCTGGTCATCTCCTGTACTGTGTCTGCAGTCTCTGGTCATCCCCTGTACTGTGTCTGCAGTCTCTGGTCATCTCCTGTGCTGTGTCTGCAGTCTCTGGTCATCCCCTGTACTGTGTCTGCAGTCTCTGGTCATCTCCTG